GGACCACCCTGTATCCCCCCCCCATCCTCCCCAACCTCAAGGAGCAGGAAGAGCATGCTGGCAGAGGTACCTTTTCTCAGGGAAATGGGATCTGACCAGCCTGTCTGGGCCACAGGCTCGGAGCCATCCAGGGCGAGGAACTTCACCCTGGGATGGGAAAGGAGGTTGGACACGCTCCCCCAAGCCAGGGGGGGCTGCAGGCAGACCCCAGGGTGGGGGGGGGACATGTCCCCATGAGCAGGCTCACTGGTATGGCCCAGGGCTGGGCAGGGGGCCGTTGCAGGTGGGTCTGGAGGCATCCTTGGCACAGCTGGTCTCGCTGCCCACGCGCAGCACCGTGATGTCCCTGCTGTTGTTGACGCAGGGGTAGTTGAAGATGGTGGTGTTGAGGGTCATGTAGGCGAGGGTAGTGTTGGGGAACTTCTGGAACTCCCGCCCGGAGCCCCCAGGCTCCACCTTGTTGTCGAAGTTGGGAACGGCTGCGGGGATGAAGAGGAGGGTGAGGAAGGACCTTCGGGAGTGGGGGGGGAACACACCGGGAGCCCCTGCCCGGCGCCTCGCCGCACCCCACCTACCCTCGGGGAGGGCCACCACCAGCCAGATGATGGTGTCGTCTCGTAGATTGGTGAAGATGCAGCGGGGCTGCTCCAGCACGAAGGTGGAGGCGGTGGTCCGGCCCCCCAGGAAGGTGTTGGCCAGGCTTGGCTTGCCCACGGTGGGGATGGCATCTGCGGCGAGAAGCCAAGGGGGGGTGCAGCGGAGGGTGCAGACCCCCCACTATAACCCCCGACCGGCAGCGGCGGTGCCGGGGGCTTGGCGAGGGGACAGGGACAGGAGGGAGCTGACCCCCTGTGATCCCACATGTGAAGCCCCCCCTCCTCCCCTCCCACCCCCTGTTTTGGGCTCAAACACAAGGCATTTCATAAAAAGAGGAAGGAAAGACGCCCTGTGCCACCACCCTGGAGGGACACCCCTGCGAGACCCTAGAAGACCCCACATTGTGCCAGGAGACCCAGGATGGTGAGAGCAGGGACTCTAGAGGTGGCATCCAGAAGAGAGGGGGGCATCAGCTGCCCTGCATTTCCAGGCTCCAAGGGGGTGCCGGTGCCCGTGCACAGGGCACCCCTGGCAAGTTGGGGACCCCCATCCCATCCCGATGGCGTTGGTGGACTCACCCAGCCCGCGGGCCGTCGCCAGGAGCAGGAGGAGCAGCGGGAGCATCGTTGTGGGCGCCTGGGTGCCGAGGGCAGGAGTGCGGGCGTTTGGGCTCCGCGTCCCCGCGGGACCCGCCTGCGGCCGCCAACCGCCCACATTCCTGCGCCAGCCACGGCCCCGCTGGCAAACAGGTCGGGCTCGTTTCCCCGAGGGGGGGGGGAGAACATTTGCTACACCTGAGCGCCCGCTGGCGAGGTGTGCTGAGAACTGCCACGCTCGTGGCATGGGTGGGCAACAGCCCCCAGCCGGGCAATGGGGGCAGCGGGGAGAGGGCTACCCCAGGGTGATGCCCACCTCGGGGCTTCCTGCAGACCGCACTGGTGCTGGCAAATGGCCCCCTCTGGCACCAAATGTCACCAAGCCAAGACCATGGGGAGTTTTTTGGGGTCCAGTGCCCCTGTCCTCCACGGCAACAGCCCAGCTGGGCAATGGGGGCAATGGGGAGAGGGCTAACCCAGGGTGATGCCCACCTCAGGGCCCCCTGCAGACCCCACTGGTGCTGGCATATGGCCCCCCCTGACATCAAATGCCACCAAGCCAAGACCCTGGGGAGTTTTTGGGGGTCCCAGTGCCCCTCTCCTCCATGGCAACAGCCCTCAGCCAGGCAAAGGGCAGCGGGGAGAGGGCTACCCCAGGGTGATGCCCACCTCAGGGCCCCCTGCAGACCCCACTGGTGCTGGCATATGGCCCCCCTGGCACCAAATGTCACCAAGCCAAGACCCTGGGGAGTTTTTGGGGGTCCCAGTGCCCCTCTGCTCCATGGCTCCATCCCTGTGTGGCCGACAGCGTGGTGGCAGCTGGAGGGGGACATCGCCCCACGGCCGGACAAAAAGAGGAGGCAGTTGTAGATGTAAAAGGAGAGTTTACTTGCCAGGAAAGGGACAGGGAGGTCGGGGGGCAAAGCAGCCCAGCCCCGGGGGGCTGCACCTGCAACCGGGGGGCAGGGGCTGGGGCAGGGCTGGGGGGATGTGGTGGGTCCTGTAGGACCTGTGGGCGAAGGCGCCGGTCCCCGAATCCCGGTGGCACAGGGACCCCCACACCACAGTGCTGCAGGGAGAGAGAAGCAGAGGGGTCAAGTGGGGTCTGGGGGGGGCTCTGCCAGCCCCCCCCGCACCAACCACCTTTCTCCTTGGCAAACCCCTCAATTTAAGAAAAAAAAAAAAGTTTTTAAATCTTTAACATGTCTACTTTGCTCCATCTCCTTGCTGATGGGGCCAAAGAGGAGGTGGGGGGGTGTTTTCCTGGGGGTCCCACTGATGCATCCCCCCCTCCCCAAAGTGTGTCCCCACAGCCCCCATACCCCACGGTGCCGATCGCTGCCACGGCCAGCGCGGCCCCCAGGCTGGCAAGGATGGAGGTGATGATGACCACGGCGCTGCCATGACGCGTGGGCACGGGGTCGATGGTGCTGGGGCTGGCAGCTGGAAGAAGCTGGGATGAGGGGG